AAATTGATAGTTTTGTGAATATTTACTGAATATTAATAAAATTTGATACACAATTATTTCGATACCTATTGGATAACTTTGTTTAATCTCAAAAAGACTATTTCATTTAACCAAATTATCAGAATTCACCTTGAAAGAAAAAATTAAATAAAATAAAAAATAAAAATGAAATTAGTATATTATTGAAAAAAATTGACAGTTTCGTGAATATTTATTGAATACTAATGAAATTTGATAACAATTATTTCGATACCTACTTTGTTTAATCTCAGAAAGGTTGCTTCATTTGACCAAAGTATCAGAATTCACCTTTCAATAAAAAAATTAAATAAAATAAAAAATAAAAAATAAATTAATATATTTATGAAAAAAATTAATAGTTTCATGAATATTTGTTTAATACTGATAAAATACAGAATTATTTCGATACTTACTGAATATTTTGTTTTATATCAAAAAGTCTACTTCATTTGACCAAAGTATCAGAATTCATCTTAAAATAATAAATTTAATAAAATAAAATAATTTAATATAATTTTAAATAATAACAGCTATTTTAATTTTTTTATTTACCTTCAAATAAAAAATTAAAATTGAAAAAAAATTTTTTTTAAAAATTTTTTTTTGTAATACAAAATATAATATAGCAAATGTAACATAAAATAAAGGATCATATAAAAGAAATTATTTTGGTTTTTTTTGAGCTACAAATTAAAATTCTTGAAAAAAACTACTTTGTGATTGTTAAATTTAATATAGTTCAAAGTGTCACAAAAGAGTTTCTTTAATAATTTTATTCTAATAATTTTAAAAAAGCTATAAGTGTATTATAATTGCAGAAATATATGAATACAATATACTAGTATATAATATATATTATATAATGCAGATTAATTACTTGTATCACAAATTTCCTAATTTGAAATATTTATTAATTAATTCATGTTGATCTGTATGATATGTATTCTAATTAAGCGAAAAAGTTAGTAAATTTAGTAATGATTACCATCAATTTTTCACTTAATAACATTTCTTCATTAATAAAATTAATTTTGTATTTGCCAATTAATTAGCCATAAGTACAATAAATTTATTGATGTAAGATTTGTAAATGCAATTTAAGTAAATTTTATTTGTGAAAAAAATTAAATTTATTTATATTATAAAAATATTTAGATTTTTATTTTTATATGTGTCTTCTCTTATTAGAATTATTCTGCATTTTGTATTTGATTTTGATTAGAAAATATATTTGATTGAAAATCTGAAGTAAATGAATTTGCTAAAATATTATATGCAATTGTCGTTTATTATTGTTAATGTTGTTAATTTTGTTTTGATAATTCAAAATCTAATGATATTAATTCCATTAAATTTTTTTAATTTTTTTCTAAATGTTTTTATCAATATAAAAATAAAAGATTAATTTTTTAAACATTTAATTTAAATTATTAATTATATTAATTATTTATATTTATTTACCTTTAAACTATAAATTAATTCACAAAACTTTATAATATTATTTTGATTATTATTATAAGGAAATTCAACTGAATCCCATAATAAAATATTTCTGTATTTTGAATTATTTTTATTACATATTCAGGTTTAAGAATAAATTTATATAATTCTGCATAGTTTTGTAATATTTTTTGTAAATACTGTTTTGAATTTATAAATCCTTTAATTCTATCATTTTCAGATTTAACATTATCAATTTTCCATGGTGGTCCTATAACTTCAATTATTAACTATTCCTTTTCATTTTGAAAAATTAATACATCTGCTAAATTTTGCCGATTAGAATTAAAGTTAATACTTGATTGTATAGTCATATCACCCTAATATAATAAATTTATATTAAATTAATTATAAAAAAAATTATCACAATAGCATAATAAATATACTTACAAATGAACTGTATAACCAGAATTTTCAAATATAATAGAAAGTATATTATATACTATTTCTGTTGTATAATGTGATTCACAAACACGAAAATTTTTACCATTACGATATGTATTTTTATTATATATTTTTTTTCTAAATAAAAAAAAGTTATAAAAAATTATTATTTCATTAAGATCTTTTTAAAATACTTATAAATTTTTTAATATTTTATAATAAATACATAATTCTTAACTATTTATATTTGTTGGTTTAATAATTTTAGAATTATTATTAATATGTTGTATTTGTTCGTAAATGTATTTTATATTAATTTTATTAATTAAAAATTATTTGTTGAAATAAATAAATCTTCATATATTGCTGCATTTATATCATAAGAATTATAACATGATAATTGTCGTGATAAATCACAAATACTTGAATCTAAACAAAATATAATAATGACCTGGATTAAAATTTAAAATAATTAGTATTGATTTATAATAAATAATAAATTAAATATAATAATATATACTTTGATTTTCCAAATGTTTTTTTTGCAGAACTTTCAATTAAATTTGATATGTTATAACCTTCATATATCCAATCAAGTGAAAACTATTATAAAATAAATTAATTTAAACCTTTTTAATTATAAGACAAATTAATAAAATTAATTACCTGATTATAATTTTGCTGACTTTTTAAAATATTTTCTAATTTAATTATATTTTCTTTACTTTGTATAATAATATTACTTAAATTATTATTATTATTTATACTATGATAAGCCATAATACCAGCAGAAATTTTATCTACATTATTATTACAAGCAGTCAACCAACCAAGAATTAATAAAGATTTTTTATCTTCCTATTAAATAAATTTAAACAAAAAGAACTTAAAAAATTAGTCTCCGCTGGCTTTTTTTTTTTTTTTTTACACTTTTTTCTATTATAATAATAAATAAAATTAATTAAATAATTATTTTTTAAAATTTTACTTACATTAAATTTATTTTTTTCCATTTGTAAATTATCATTTATAAATTTTTTTTCAATAATTTTAGTAAATAATAAATATTTGGTATCTTTATTTTTAGTAAAATCAGAATTTTTTAAATGAAAATTTAAAAAATTTAATAAATTAAATTTTTGATTTTTTATATATTTTTCAAAATTTTTATAAAGTAATTCAAATGATTCTTTATTCATTGTTGATTAACTGTTAATTAATATATTAATATTTGTTTTTATTTAAAATTTTTTAGAATGAAAAAAAAAGAAATTTTGCATTTATATATAGCTAAAATTTAAAATAATTTTAATGCTAAAATAGGAAAAATTGTTAAAATAACTAAAATTATCAAACTAAATAAAAATAGAAACTAACTAAATAAATAAAATAACTAATATCTAAAATAATCAAATAGCTAAAATAGGAAATATTACATACTATTTAAATAGCCAAAATAATCAAACTAGATAAAATCAATAGATGAATAGTTAAGTAATCAAATAAATAAAATAGTTAACTAAAATAGAAAATATAATCATAATAATTAAAATATCTAAAATATTCGAACTAGATAAAATAAAAATAGCCAAATAATTGAATATCCAAATATCTAAAATATTCAAATCATTAAAATAAATAAAATAGTTAAACAAATAAATTATAATAATTAAAATAGCATAATAATAAATTTAGATAAAATAAATAATCAAATAGCAAAAATAATCAAATAAACAAAATAATTAACAAAATAAGAAATATAATTATAATTATTAAATACCTAAAATAATCAAATTAAATAATAATCAAATAATTAAATAACCAAATAGCCCAACGGTTAAAATAAAATAAATAGTTAAATAAATAAAAAATAATTAAAATAAGATATAATAATTAAATTGTTAAAATTGTTAAGTTATCAAAATTCTAATATAATAATAAGAAATAAATAATTTTTAATTTTAATTTTCTATTTTTTTTAAAAAAAAACTTGTAATTATAATAAAAAAAGTAAATTTTTAAAAAAGCAAATTTATAAAATTACTGCGTAATAAAATAATACATTATGTTGATTAAATTAAATTAAATAATTACACAAAATTTTTTTTTGCATTACAGTCAACCCTTGATATAACGAATTTTATGTTCTGAACTTCAACTTCATTATAGAGCTATAGTGAACTTTTTAAAGAATTTGATTGGCTAGTTCGTTATAACGAGGATAAATTTAATATAGTTGTCCAAAAAATTCGTTATATTAAAATTCGCTATAAAGAGGTATGACTGTATGTTGATCAAATTAATTACATAAATAATTACACAAATATTTTATAAGAATTTACTTTTTTATTTACCGCAAAAAATTTAGTTATATTTAATTTTCTTTTGCTATTTTTTACTTGTTATTGTTTTTTTTTAAAATACAGTTTTTTCTACATTTATATTTTTTTATTATTAAATACTATTTTTTTTCTATTTTTTTTTTTATTTATTTTTTTTTTTTAATTTTTTACCAATTTTTTTTTAATTTTCTTTACTATTTTTTTCTTGTTATTATTTCTTTTTTAAAATACAGTTTTTCTACATTTATATTTTTTATTATTAAATATTATTTTTTTTTTTTTTATTTTATTTTTTATTTTTTATTTTTTATTTTTTTTTTTAAATTTTTTACCAATTTTTTTTTTTACTATTTTTTTCTCGTTATTATTTCTTTTTAAAATACAGTTTTTTCTACATTTATATTTTTTTTATTATTAAATACTATTTTTTTTTTCTATTTAATTTTTTATTTTAATTTTCTTTACTATTATTTTCTTGTTATTATTTCTTTTTAAAATACAGTTTTTTTTTACATTTATATTTTTTTATTATTAAATAATATTTTTTTTTTCTATTTTCTATTTTATTTTTTATTTTTTTTTTTTAATTTTTTACCAATTTTTTTAATTTTTCTTTTATTATTATAATTATTTTTTATTTTCTTTATTATCTTTTATTAAATACAATTCTTTTATTTTATTTCAAATACTTTTTTTTAAAAAAATTTTTTCTTACTTTTTTTTTTCTTTTTTTTTATATTTTTCTTTTTTAAAATGCTTTTAATTAAAAGTTTAAAAGTTGAAATTGTTGATATGTTCAAATTATTAAAACAATTAAGCTATGATCATCATCGTATTTTATTTGGATATAGTGAATCATTTATAAAATGGTTAAAATTACAAGGTGTTTCAGATAAAGTAAGTTATCTAATAATTGTTTAAATTAGAAATTCTTTAATAAATCTTTAATAGAATATAGATTTATTTGAGCAGGCTCCTTCTTGATTTTAGAATAATAGAAACTTTTAAACTTCTTGATTTTTAGATAATAGAATATTACGTGTGTTCAAATACTTATATATTTTTATATTTAAGATTTAATATTTTGTTAATAGAAATTAGAAATCTTTAGTAATTTTTTTCAAATTTTAGAATGAAAGAAACTTTAAAACTTCTTAATTTTTAGATGATATAATATTACATTTTTACTTTATTTATATTTTTAATTTTATAGTTAATATTTTGTTAATTAGAAATTATTAGTTAATCTTTTAAAATAAGAATGTAATATTTGAGCAAACTCCTTCTTGATTTTAGATTGAAAGAAACTTAAATTTCTTGATTTTTAGATAATGGAATATTACGTGTGTTCAATTTATTTTATGTTTTTAAATTTTTAAGGTTAAATATTTTGTTAATTAGAATTGTTAATTAATCTTTTAAAAAAAAGAATATAAATTTTAAATAAACTCCTTCCAGATTTTTCATTGAAAGAAACTTTTAAAACTTCTTGATATTAAGATGATGGAATACTACGTTACAATCTATTATATTCTTAAATTAAAAGTTAATTTATCTTTTTTTTTAAAAAAAGTATAGATTTATTAAGCAAATGTTTTTAAATTTAAAAACTTTTAGATGATGAAATTATGTATTTTTTTTTTATTTATTATTCTAAATAAATTAATTCATGAATTTTCTTTAAATTTTTTGCAATGCCATTTAAAACTAAAAATTAAATAATTTATTTATCAATTTTAAAATAATAAATATAATTTATTAAGAAGATTCCTTTTAAATTCTAGATTAAGAGAAATTTTTAATTTTCTTAATTAATATTTAATTTAACTAGTTTATTTAATTAAAAAGAGATCAATTTTTAAAAAAAGATTTAAAAGATTTTTATTTTATTTTATTATTAATTTTTAATTTATTTTTATATTAATTTATTTTTATTTTATTTATAACTAATTTTTTATTAAGAATCCTCATCTTGAATTTTCAAGATTTTTAACTACATATAAAGATGATGAAACTTATCAAGATTTGTATAATAGTTATCAAGATCGCTTTATTGTTTTGTCTAATGATCTTAAATTAGTTGCAGAAAAACGATGTAATATTTTGAGTGTTGAAAAATCTACTCATTTAGTTGAGAATTATCATGGTAAATTTGCTTTTTGTTCAGAAATAGAACTAGAAAAAGATTTAAAAATCATTGATATAAATGAATCAGTAATTTTTATACATAATAATATGGTTATTGGTAGAATTATACGTGATATTGCAAAACAATCAGTTAAAAATCATTTTGGTTATAAAATGAAAATTACTATAGAAGCACATCATAAAATGAAACGTGGATAAAAAAGTCACAGATGTAAGAAAAGTAGTAGGTCATAGTTTACATGCTAAATTCCTAAATCCATCAATTACTAGTTCATATTCATATTTAGATAAAAATCTTGATCCTCAAGCACAAAAAATATATGGTGAAGATGGAAATAGTTTTGCAAATTGGTTATATAATAATGCTAGAAAATATTTACCATGAGCAATGATCTCATATGATAATTTTAAGCAATATATTAATTTAAGTGATGATCAACTTATAGGTGCTGTATTTTATGCGAAAAATTATGAAGCTGTTGGACATGTTGATAATGATCGATCTGAATTTACTATAGGTTATGTTTTTGATATAGGTATAGTTAAAGAAGGATACTTTATTTATCCTGAGTATGGTATTGCTATTAAACTAACATCAAATTCTATTTGGTGTTGGTTAACACAAGCTGTACATGATACAGAAAAACTTGATTTAAGTGAAGGTGTAATTAGATATACTGGTGCAATAACTTTAACAAAAAAGACTGCTAGAGCTATTGAATGAGAACAAATTTAATTAATAGAATAAATTAAAAAATAATTAAATAAAATATATATATTTTACTATTTTATTTATTTATAAATGTAAAATAATTTTATTATTTTATAAATATTTGTTTAAATATATTACTATAATATTTGTTTGTAATATTAAATAATTTATTTTATATTTCAGCATAAATCCAGATATTATAGTCGAACCTTCTTATACAAATCATAATTTTTGGAAATTAAAATTTGCTATAATAAAAAAATTTGATAATTATATACTGCGATACTCATAGGAAAACTTCATAATGATTGGTCAAAAATAATTAATTTAATCAATCATTATTTATATGCTTTAAAGTACTTTTTTAGAAAATATAAGTTGTATATAAAAAAATACCATCTAGATTTCTTGAAGTGTTAACCAATTGCAAAAGTAATCTAAAATAATCTTTTTTTTAAAAAGTTTACTTAAATAATATATTTGCTATAATAACTAAATTAATGAGACCTTATATTATTAAAGTTTACACTAAATTTTTATTATTAAGAAAAAAGTTACAACAACTGTGTTTAAAAGAGCAAATGAATATGGAACACTCCCTGAATATGTTAAGAAAAATAAAACTATATGACTTAACTGTTATAATGCAATGCTAATTAATAAATCCTTCATATTTATATACCACATTTTAGAATAATATTAGGAAGAAAAAAAAAATGGAAGAAAAGATTACTAATAAATAAAAAGAATCTTCTTTTTCGGGTATATTGAAATAATTACAAAAGTTCTTATTGATAGAGAGTTTGTTAAAAAACAGCAATCATTATACAATTTTTATTTCAATAATATTTTATATTTTTAACACTAATAATAAAAAACAATTTGCTATTTT